GGGCCTTTAAATCAGTTCGAAACATCCGCGATGCACTGAGGCCGCGAAACTTGAACCGCGAAGTGGGGAGGGATTACTGTATAACAGTGTTCGCATGCCAGCGCGGGGTCTCTGACACGGCCATTACGAACCTCGGTGTGACAGAGAGAGAGAGAGGGAGGGAGAGGGGGAGAAGTCACCCAGACCCAGGACTTGAACCCAAGGCCTTCACTGGTTCTGGCTCAGTGCCTCTGACACGGCCATTCTGAACCCTGTGAGCCACCCTCGCTACCTCAATGGGGTCTTTGTATCGCCATTCACAATGTGCGGTTACGTGGCGCGGCGTCTCTCTATGTGAGTCTGTTGGTCTCTACGCGAGTGAGTCTATGGGGCTTTGTGTGAGTCTATGGGTCTCTGTGCGAGTCTCTTGGTCTCTATGCGAGTCTGTTGGCCTCTACGTGAGTGAGTCTATGGGTCTTTGTGAGAGTCTACGGGTCTCTGTGCGAGTCTACGGGTCTCTGTGTGAGTCTATGGGTCTCTGTGTGAGCCTACGGGTCTCTGTGTGAGTCTACAGGTCTCTGTGCGAGTCTATGGGTCTTTGTGTTGTGTGATTCTACGGGTCTCTATGTGAGTCTGTGGGTCTCTATGTGAGTGAGTCTATGGGTCTTTGTGTGAGAGTCTATGGGTTTCTGTGTGCGTCTGTGGGTCTCTGTGTGAGTCTATGGGTCTCTGTGTGAGTCTATGGGTCTCTGTGTGAGTCTGTGGGTCTCTGTGTGAGTCTATGAGTCTCTGTGTGAGTCTGTTGGCCTCTGTTTGAGTCTCTTGGTCTCTATGTTAGTCCGTGGGTCTCTATGTGAGTGAGTCTATGGGTCTTTGTGTGGGTCTATGGGTCTCTGTGTGCGTCTGTGGGTCTCTGTATGAATCTACGGGTCTCTGTGTGAGTCTATGGGTCTCTGTGTGAGTCTATGGGTCTCTGTGTAAGTCTGTGGGTCTCTGTGCGAGTCTGTGGGTCTCTGTTTGAGTCTACGGGTCTCTGTGTGAGTCTGTGGGTCTCTGTGTGAGTCTGTGGGTCTCTGTGTGAGTTTCTTGGTCTCTATGCGAGGTTGTGGGTCTCCATGTGAGTGAGTCTGTGGGTCTCTGTGTGAGTCTGTTGGCCTCTACGTTTGTGTGAGTCTATGGGTCTCTGTGTTGTGTGAGTCTATGGGTCTCTGTGTAAGTCTGTGGGTCTCTGTGCGAGTCTGTGGGTCTCTGTGTGAGTCTACGGGTCTCTGTGTGAGTCTCTTGGTCTCTGTGTGCATCTGTGGGTCTCTATGTGAGTGAGTCTATGGGTCTTTGTGTGAGTCTACGGGTCTCTGTGTGAATCTATGGGTCTCTGTGTGAGTCTGTTGGTCTCTATGTGAGTGAGTCTATGGGTCTTTGTGTGAGTCTACGGGTCTCTGTGTGAATCTATGGGTCTCTGTGTGAGTCTGTTGATCTCTATGTGAGTGAGTCTGTGGGTCTCTAAGTGGGTCTGTGGGTGTCCGTGTGAGTCTGTGGGTCTCTGTGTGAGTCTACAGGTCTCTGTGTGAGTCTGTGGGTCTCTGTGTGAGTCTGTGGGTCTGTGTGTGAGTCTGTTGGTCTCTGTGTGAGTCTACGGGTCTCTATGAGAGTCTACGGGTCTCTGTGTGAGTCTGTGGGTCTCTGTGTGAGTCTACGGGTCTCTGAGTTAGTCTATGGGTATTTGTGTGAGTCTCTTGGTCTCTATGCGAGTCTGTGGGTCTCTATGCGAGTGAGTCTGTGGGTCTCTATGTGCATCATTGGGTCTATGTGAGTGAGTCTCTAGCTCTCTGTGTGAGTCTGTGGATCTCTGTGTGAGTCTGTGGATCTCTGTGTGAGTTTATGGGTCTCTGTACGAGTCTACAGGTCTCTAGTGTGAGTCTGTGGGTCTCTGTGTGAGTGAGTCTACGGGTCTCTGTGCGAGTCTGTGGATCTTTATGTGAGTTTATGGGAGAGAGAGGAAATCAGTCATTGGCAGGGAAGGGGAAGGTCTTGAGCCTGGACAGGAACAGGGTAGGGAGCCCACAGCACCGGTGGCTGGGGGAAGTGAGTTCCAGACCCCGGTTGGGGGGGGGGGGGGGGTAAGAGGGAGGGGGGCAGTGTCTCTCTCTCTCACTCACTCTCCTCCCACTCTCTCTGTCTCTCTCTCTCGCCCCATCTCTCTCTCGCCCACTCTCCGGCTCTCTTTTTTTTTACGATCAGTGGAAACAAGAAGATGCTCGGTGTAGTCGGCACTTTGCTTCGTTCATCATTTCGTAATTTTTTTTTAAACTTTGCTTTTATGTAAAACCCCCACCTCTCGCTCGCTCTCTCGCTCGCTCTCTCGCTCACTCTCTCGCTCTCTCTCTCGCTCGCTCTCTCGCTCACTCTCTCGCTCTCTCTCTCACTCACTCTCTCGCTCTCTCTCTCGCTCACTCTCTCGCTCACTCTCTCGCTCTCTCGCTCTCTCTCTCGCTCGCTCTCTCGCTCTCTCGCTCTCTCTCTCGCTCACTCTCTCGCTCTCTCTCTCGCTCACTCTCTCGCTCGCTCTCTCGCTCTCTCGCTCGCTCTCTCTCTCGCTCTCTCGCTCTCTCTCTCGCTCTCTCTCTCGCTCTCTCTCTCGCTCGCTCTCTCGCTCTCTCTCTCGCTCTCTCTCGCTCGCTCTCTCGCTCTCTCGCTCTCTCTCTCGCTCACTCTCTCGCTCACTCTCTCGCTCTCTCTCTCGCTCTCTCTCTCGCTCTCTCGCTCGCTCTCTCTCTCGCTGATCTCTCGCCCGCTCTCTCGGCCGCTCGCTCGCCCGCTCTCTCGCTCACACTCTCTCGCTCACTCTCTCTCGCTCACTCTCTCGCTCACTCTCTCGCTCGCTCTCTCGCTCTCTCTCTCGCTCTCTCTCTCGCTCGCTCTCTCGCTCTCTCGCTCGCTCTCTCTCTCGCTCTCTCTCTCGCTCGCTCTCTCGCTCTCTCGCTCGCTCTCTCGCTCTCTCTCTCGCTCACTCTCTCGCTCTCTCTCTCGCTCTCTCTCTCGCTCGCTCTCTCGCTCTCTCGCTCGCTCTCTCTCTCGCTGACTCTCTCGCCCGCTCTCTCGGCCGCTCGCTCGCCCGCTCTCTCGCTCACACTCTCTCGCTCACTCTCTCTCGCTCACTCTCTCGCTCACTCTCTCGCTCTCTCTCGTTCTGCACGCAGCCCTTCTCGCAGTCTGACGGCCTCCGACGGGTAGCTCATATCAGCATGCAGAGCTCCCCGTCATCTGCCACCGAGCACACGGCCTCCTCCATCGCCCACTCTCTGTCTCTCTCGCCCCCTCTCACTCACTCACTCCCTCCCCCCTCTCTCTGTCTCTCCGTGCTCCTGGAGATAAGCGAGTGTGACATTTGCCGTTGCTGGTGACACAGCTACTGCTGCTGCTGGCGGTGATGGGAGCCTGGGCGGGGGAGTTGAACCCAGCCCGCTGGAACCCCGGGGTGTCACCCGCGAGATGTTATGACATTCACAGGCACCCACACAGACAGAGACATCGGTGGCGCGCAGCCCAAATAGACTGATCACGCTAGCACTGTTGGAACCTCATTTGCCAGTAAAAAAAAAAAGATAATTGTTTTTTTTACCCTTTTATCTGGCAACAAAACTGACACCTTTTTTCTCCTATGACACACATGTTCATACAAATATCCGCCGTGTAGCCTACACAGGTTTGTGTGTGGGGCAAGCGCTGTTCGCGAGCGGGGCCTGTGAAGGCCGGCGCTGTGGCACACGAGGGGGTGGGGTGGCCAGCACCACGCCAGGCCGCCTTTGTCTCCCCAGTGGCGGTGTTTACTACACACCGCACCAGGTACTCGTTTAAGGCTGAGTCGATCTAGGAGAGGCCCAGGACCGGTTCGAACCCAGGTCTCCAGGTTCGCAGTGCAGTGCGCTACCCACTGCACTACCGCTCCCCGACACACACACACACATACGTACAAGCACACATCCACACACACATGCACACTTAAGACAAAAAATACACACACACACATACAAAGAAAAAGATCCCCCGTATAGCCTTTAACAGACTGTTGGGGCAAGTGCTGTGGGTGGCCAGCACCACGCCTGGCTGCCTTTGTCTCCCTAGCGGCGATGTTTACTACACACTGCACCAGGCACTCATTTGAGGCCGAGTCGACCTCGGGGAGGCCCAGGACCGGTTCAGATAAACCTCACTGACGTTGGCCGTGAGTGGGAATCGAACCCGGGTATCCAGGTTCGCAGCGCAGCGCGCTACCCACTGCACTACCGCTCCCCACACACTAGCAGACACATACACACACACACCAGAGGTCGCAACCGGGTACCCGATACCCGTACCCTACCTGATACCCGTACCCTACCCGATACCCGGCTACCCGTACCCGGCCGGGTACGGGTACGGGTAGGCCGTGAGTCACTTTTATTAATTTAAATTTTTACCTACGTGACTTTACCGAAAAAACCTAAGAATATGAATCCTTGCAGTTACGAAAGCTTCAAATCTAGAATTGGTGAGTAACCGTTTGTCACTCATTTCCCTGCGTCTTGTCTCTTCTCACAATTCAAGTTCCTAGAATCAACCCACCCGCGCCTGCAACATGGCTTCATCCCAGAGGTCGCATCAGGTACCCGATACCCGTACCCTACCCGTACCCGGCCGGGTACGGGTAGGGTACGGGTACGGCCAGGTACGGATACGGGTACCCGTTTGCGACCCTGGTGCGGCCGGGTACGGGTAAGGAATCAAAACCCGTTTGCGACCTCTGACACGCACACACACACGCACGTCCCCTGTGTAGTCTGTATGTGTGTGTGTAGTAGGTGCCAGAGGTGGGACAAAGTCATTGTTATGCAAGTCCAAGTCGAGTCTGAAGTCATCAAATTCATGACTCGAGTCTGACTCGAGTCCAAGTCACATGACTCGAGTCCACACCTCTGGTAGGTGCCACTCGCTAACGGGGGGGGGGGGGGCGGCAGCGTTGCCCTGGTCTCTGCGGGGGGCACCTTGAGCGAGTCGAAGCAGGCGACGACGCGCCCGTTGTCCACGGTGACGCCCTCGGGGGGGTGCGCGTAGCGGCACTCGGAGGCGTCGCGCGAGCACGAGCCTCGCGAGAACTCGCGGCACACCTCCAGGGTGAGCCAGCGAGCGTCACGCACCGCCATGCCTACAGTCACACACACAGAGTCACACAGAGTCACACACAGAGTCACACAGAGTCACACAGAGTCACACACACACGCGGCACACCTCCAGGGTGAGCCAGCGAGCGTCACGCACCGCCATGCCTACAGAGTCACACACACGCAGTCACACACAGAGTCACACAGAGTCACACACACAGAGTCACACAGAGTCACACACACAGAGTCACACAGAGTCACACACACAGAGTCACACCTCCAGGGTGAGCCAGCGAGCGTCACGCACCGCCATGCCTACAGAGTCACACACACCGAGTCACACAGAGTCACACGCAGTCACACAGAGTCACACAGAGTCACACACACACAGTCACACAGAGTCACACCGAGTTACACGGAGTCACACAGAGTCACAGCGAGTCACAGCGAGTCACACAGAGTCACACACACAGAGTCACACAGAGTCACACACGCACAGAGTCACACCTCCAGGGTGAGCCAGCGAGCGTCGCGCTCCCCCATGCCTACACACGCACACGTGCATACAAAGATCCCCCTGTGTAGCCTTCACAGACTGTAGTGGCAAGTGCTGTTAGCGAGCAGCAGCACCGACGAAGGCCGGCACGGTGGCACACGAGGGGGTGGGTGGCCAGCACCACGCCCGACCGCCTTTGTCTCAGTCACCGGTGTTGGCCGTGAGCGGGAATCGAACCCGGGTGGCCGGGTTCGTAGCGCAGCGCTAACCGCTGCACCGCCACCCTCACGTACGCACGCTCACGTACGCACGCCCGCTCACGTACGCACGCCCGCTCACGTACGCACGCTCACACTCGCACAACAGAATTATGGAGTGAAAACTTATCTTGCGCAACACGCATTGGATTTCCCAATCGCTCGCCAAACACACGGCGCGCGCACCAGTTCACCGAACGAGCGTTCGACTAGCGGCAACGACGTCACGTGCCAGGCCGCCCCGGCGAGGGCGGTGACGTCGCACGCGCTGTGACGTCACGCGCTGTGACGTCACACACACGCGTCACGCGCGATGACGTCACCACCAACAACTTTTTAAATAAAATCAAAAGAGGTTTTTGGGTTGACTGCATCAGCATTAATGCGTCGTTAAACCGCCACCGCCTGACACGTCAGAGTCGGGATCGAACCCACGACCTCCTGCACACCAGGCGAGGTAGTTAACATCTCCTAGCCACTGTGGTGATGATGAGAGAGAGACACGCAAACTCCAAATATACAGCAGCAGGCGTCAGGGTCGGGATCGAACCCACGACCTCCTGTATATCAGGCGAGGTAGTCAACATCTCCTAGCCACCGTGATGATGAGAGAGACACGCAAACTCCAAATATACAGCAGCAGGCGTCAGGGTCGGGATTGGACCCCTAGACCTCCTGTATACCAGGCGAGGTAGTTAACATCTCCTAGTCACCGTGATGATAATGAGAGAGAGAGACACGCAGACTCCAAATATACAGCAGCAGGTGTCAGGGTCGGGATCGAACCCACGACCTCCTGCATACCAGGCGAGGTAGTTAACATCTCCTAGCCACCGTGATGATGTTGAGAGAGAGAGAGACACGCAAACTCCAAATACACAGCAGCAGGCGTCAGGGTCGGGATCGAACCCACGACCTCCTGTAGACCAGGAGACGTAGTTAACATCTCATATCCACCGTGATGATAATGAGAGAGATACACAAACTCCAAATATACAGCAGCAGGCGTCAGGGTCGGGATTGGACCCCTAGACCTCCTGTATACCAGGCGAGGTAGTTAACATCTCCTAGCCACCGTGATGATGATGAGAGAGAGACACGCAAACTCCAAATACACAGCAGCAGGCGTCAGGGTCGGGATCGAACCCACGACCTCCTGTAGACCAGGAGACGTAGTTAACATCTCATATCCACCGTGATGATAATGAGAGAGATACACAAACTCCAAATATACAGCAGCAGGCGTCAGGGTCGGGATTGGACCCCTAGACCTCCTGTATACCAGGCGAGGTAGTTAACATCTCCTAGCCACCGTGATGATGATGAGAGAGAGACACGCAAACTCCAAATACACAGCAGCAGGCGTCAGGGTCGGGATCGAACCCACGACCTCCTGTATACCAGGAGACGTAGTTAACATCTCCTCGCCACCGTAGCGCTCGTATTTTTGGAGTTTGCGTCTCTCTCTCTCTCTCTCCCCGTGGTCGCTGCGTGGATTGTTATCCGGGTCCTCCAAACGTACAATCGTACGTTTGGAGTATTTGGCTACTGCTAGACATTTCCACGCGACGATGATGATGACAATGATGACGACAACGATGATGATGACGACGATGATGATGATGATGACGATGATGACGATAATGACGACGATGACGATGATGATCGATGATGATGATGATGATGACGACAATGATGATGATGACGATGACGACGATGATGATGACGATAATGATGATGACGACGATGACGATGATGATCGATGATGATGACGATGATGACGACGATGATGACGACGATGATGATGATGACGATGATGATGAAGCCCACTCCGTTGAAGCATTCGTTTGTGATGAGCAGGGTCGCGCTTCTGAAACAAAGATCTAAAGAGCTTCATATTCTTGGTTCTTTCGGTAGAGTCACGTAGACAGAAATTTGCAGTAAAATAAAAAAATGTTAATTAAAAATTAAATTGTAAATAATTAAAGAAAAAAGCCACGACGTTTCCATCGCAACACCAGCGGTCTTCATCAGGCGGAGAGATGAAGATCGCTGTGTTGCGATCGAAACGTCGATTTCAAGCTTCGTGACTGCAGGGATTCATCTTCTTGGTTCTTTCGGTAAAGTCACGTAGAAGGGAAGTAATAAAATAATAAAAATAAAACATAATAAAATTATTTTCACGACGTTTCGGCCATAACCTGAGGATGGCTGCTTGCGTTGTGGCCGAAACGTCGTGAGAATTGTTTTATTATGTTTTATTTTTATTATTTTATTACTTCCCTTCTACGTGACTTTACCGAAAGAACCAAGAAGATCGAAACGTCGTTTTTGCTTTCATTAATTTCCATTTTTATTTAATTTTTCATTTTCTATCTCCGCGACTTTACCGAAAGAACCAAGAATAGGAATTCCTGCAGCCACAAAAGTTTGAAGTCAACATCTACAGAGCTCAGTGAGGCCTTAAACCGGCCAAAAAAAAATGTAAACATCAGAAAAAAGCGTTTAGTTTAAATTTCGATTTAAAGCTTTCGTGACTGCAGGGATTCATCTTCTTGGTTCTTTCGGTAAAGTCACGTAGAATGGAAATAATAAAATAATAAAAATAAAACATAATAAAATAATTCTCACGACGTTTCGGCCACAACGCAAGCAGCCGTCCTCAGGTGAAGAACAGGTCTGTGGAGAAGACAGCGTCTGAATGAAACACCACCAGGCTTGGAGCGACTATTTAAGCTGGGTTGGAGGGGAAGAGCGCCTTGACAAAATAATTTGCGTATCATGACAGACCTGTTCTTCACCTGAGGACGGCTGCTTGCGTTGTGGCCGAAACGTCGTGAGAATTGTATTTTATTATGTTTTTTTATTTTATTTTATTATTTCCCTTCTACGTGACTTTACTGAAAGAACCAAGAAGATGAAGCAATGCTGGTAAACTGCCCAGATGTTTATAGGCAATGCCTGGTTTTGATGGTCAGTGTCTCATCAGCAGGGCCAGGCTTTGCTTGAAACCAATGGAGTTGCATTGCCCAGATTAGTATGGGAAAGACAGCGTCTGAATGACAGACCTGTTCTTCACCTGAGGACGGCTGCTTGCGTTGTGGCCGAAACGTCGTGAGAATTGTATTTTATTATGTTTTATTTTTATTATTTTATTATTTCCCTTCTACGTGACTTTACCGAAAGAACAAAGAAGGCGTTTAGTTTGTTTGTTTAGTTAGTTACGTTGAGAAATTCTTCCCGCTGGGCACGGCACGTGGAAACTTATTTGTGACCACCAGACGGACACAAACAGGCCCCCTTTCACCAACGCCACCCACAACCCCACGAGTTATTAATATATTAAAATATATATTTATACAAATATATAAATAAAAAGACTGCTACAGTGCTCCTACTACTATTTTAAAAGATTTAAAAGAATATTCTTAGGTTTTTTCGGTAAAGTCACGTAGGTAAAAAAATTAAAATTTATAAAAGTAAAATAAAAATAATTGTATTTTTATTTTACTTTTATAAATTTAATTTTTTTACCTAAGAATATGAATCCTTGCAGTCACGAAAGCTTCAAATCTAGATATATAACAACTCATCCTCAGCGGCGAGTGAGTTGTGTGTTGTGTGGTGCGGGGTGGAACGCCCGGCCAGCGTGATGAACGGGCACTCGAAAATTCCTCCCCTTGTCGGAAGAGATTAGAGATTACGCAGCGACGCGCACGTGTGCGTGTGTGTGCGTGTGTGTGCGTGTGTGCGTGTGTGTGTGCATGTGTGTGCGTGTGCGTGTGCATGTGTGAGTGTGCGTGAGTGTGCGTGAGTGTGCGTGTGTGCGTGTGTGTGCGTGTGTGCGTGTGTGTGCGTGTGTGCGTGTGTGTGCGTGCATGTGTGTGTGTGCGTGTGTGCGTGTGTGTGTGCGTGTGTGTGTGTGTATATGTGTGCGTGTGTGTGCGTGTGTGTGCGTGTGTGTGCGTGTGTGTGCGTATGTGTGCGCGTGTGTGTGCGTACGTGTGTGTGTGCGCGCGCGTGCGTACGTGTGTGTATGTGTGTGTGCACGTGTGTGCGTACGTGTGTGTGTGCATGTGTGTGTGTACATGCGTGCGTACGTGCGTGTATGTGTGCGTGTGTGCGTGTGTGCATGCGTGTGTGTGCGTGCGTACGTGTGTGCGCGCGTGCGTACGTGCGTGTGTGTGCGTGTGTGCGTGCGTGTGTGTGCGTGCGTGCGTACGTGTGTGCGCGCGTGCGTACGTGTGTGTATGTGTGTGTGCACGTGTGTGCGTACGTGTGTGTGTGCATG